GGGAGAAAAAAAGTACAAAGTAACTTTTTTAATCCATTCATCATGCTCTTACAGTCCCTGCAGCGGATTAAAAGGGCTTCATAATCAGTCACTCAATGTTAAATGTATGGGAAAAGAGCCGGGCTCAGTCTTGACAAAATGATTTCTCAATGGACCGGGAAGCCTCATTTACATAACAATTATGGGAACTGCATGGGACTACTTTTCTGCGCCTTTCTACATAATGAAAGACAATTTATTTCTTTATTCATAAAGAAGCGAGTGCTTGAACTTCACTGGTGTATTTTTTGTATAATCAGATTTATTCTGTGATGAGTGACACTTCACGCTAGAAGCTAAATATGAATAAAAATAAGTGACACCCACTAAAGACACATAAAAAAGAGCTTTGATTAAGCACTATGTTATAAAAGCTCAGAGAAATGATGTGTCATGATGAATGTTTTATTATTTTTATGAGCCTATTTGATGATACAGATTAGGAGTTGTTATGAAAACATTGATTTATGTGTATTGCTAAAAATGATAAACATAAAAAATATTTTTATTAATAAAAAGCTTGATAAAAAAAACAATTATACAGATCAAAAAATATTAACATGCATGTTTTTTGTTTTTATTAAAATTGTTGTAACGTTTTGAAAGTCTCTTTTCTGCTTTTTTTTCAATTAAAACTACAATACAAATATAACAAGTGTGAAATATTTAACTTATATAATATATATAATGTATACAATCATATAAAATAAGGGTTTTCAAAGTGAGTCGACACTGTAAACCCCAACGGTCAACTTTATCAAATGAAATGAGTGTAGTTGACTCAAAATTGACTGAAAGTTAATTCTACTCATTTGAAAAGAGTTTTGAACTCAGTGTTGAAGGTAATGAGTTAATAAAACACCTAATTATTTCAACTTAAATAGAGTAAGTTCAAAGTACTCATGTAGAATAGTTTTATAACTCAAATGGTTTGTAGCAATCAATTTCCTCAAACGGTTTGAGATGCCTTAACTTGGTTTTACTGTACTCAGTTGGTTTAAGTTCTCTTAATTTATTGAGTTTTACTGTGTTCAAATTGCTTCGTTTACTCAAATGGATTAAGTTCACAGTACTCATTGTTGCAATCGGTTTCCTCAAATGGTTCAAGTTACCTTCACTTTTTGGGTTTTACAGTGTATAAAAACTTTAGTCCAGGCTTCAGTGTCAAATGATCTTTGTAAATTATTTTAATATGCCAATTTGCTCATCAAGAAGCAGGTGGACTATCATTATAAACAATTTGTTAGCATGAGTATATTATAGTTATCAAGTTACAGTAACAATCTATCATACATATCTTTAATATTATTCTTCCATGTGGGTTTGTATCATTCATAATTAGCATTGATATAGTGTTTTCTTTTTTATTTATTCAGTTTTTATTATTATTATTCTTTTTTTTGCTTATTCTCATTGCTTTGTTTGCTGAACTTTATTTTTCTTCTTATTATTGTTTCTTTTCTTTTTCTTCTACTCCTCCCCTTCCTTTTCTGTTTTTATTTATTTATTTATTTATTTATCTTTTATTTATTTATTTTTATTATTAGTATTTTATTAATTTTTGTTTATTATCATTTCTCTTTTCCTCTCTCTCCCCTTCTCCTTACTACTTACTACTATTATTATTTGTTATTATTATTATTATTATTTATTATTATTATTATTACTTGTCCTCTCCCTGATTTCCCATCCTCCCCTCTCCTCGACACCTTTGTCATAAATGGTATTACTTTTTTTTTTTGTAATCATTATTATTATTATTACTGTTCTGACTTGTCCTGTTATCTTTCCATTATCATTATTACAAGTATTTATACCATTATCATTATTAAGGTTGCAGTTGTTGTTGTTGTAGCGGTAGTAGTTGTAGTAGTAGGAGTAGTAGTTGTTGTAGTTGAAGTAGTAGACAGTGTAATAGTATCGATTGTTATTGAGTAATTGTTACGGAGATTATTGAAGTAGTAGTTCATGTAAGTAGTAGCAGAAGTAGTAATGGTGTGGTAGTTACAGTAGTAGTAGAAGTCGTTGTTGGTGTAGTAATATCAGTAGTAGATGTTGTTGATGTAGATGTAGTAGAAGTGATTGTGGTGGTGGAAGTAGCAGTAGTAGTAGTAGTAGCAGTAGACGTTGTTGTATTAGTTGTAGCAAACGCTATAGTAGTATCAGTAGTGGTCGTTGTAGTAGTATCAGTATTAGTAGACATTGTAATAGTAGTAGTCGTGGTTGTGGCTGTAATAGAAGCAGTAGTAGTTGTAATATAAGTAACTTTTTGTAGTAGTAGTTGGTGTAGCACTTGTGATTTATTATTATTGTTGTCAGTTATTACTGTTGTCCTTTCTTTCTTTTTACTCTCATTTTTACTATCATACATTAATAAGCATTGTTGTTACTGCCTACCTCTGACTGGTTTCTTTCTATATGTTTTGTCTGTTATTGTTCCTTATGTATGTACTCTGACCTGTCCACCAAGTTACCTTTACATGCATACACACACTCACACGCACACACCAGTACATGACTATATTGTTGTTGTTTTTGTTTTGTTTTTGTTTCGTTGCTTTGTATTTTTTATTTGTTGACGTTTTCTTGTATTTGTATGATTTTTGCATATTCTAATAAAAAAATTTTAAAAATAAATAAATAAAAAAAATAAACAATTTGTTGCTGCAGTTTTACTCAAATAGTTGTGCTACTATTTTAAACCATAACTATAATGAATATTACAACATTTTAAATGATTATTTATCATAAATAAATAACTTTCAACTCCATCTTAAAAGGTATCTAATCTTAAAAATTAACATGTGTTTAGTTTCATCAAAGAAAGCTTTTTTTTTTACCACTGGTAATATTATGAATGATTGGATCATATTTGTAAATGATCATGTACTGGCATGAAGACATTAAAACTCTGAATTACATAAATACAATAAGTTCAATTATAAATAATGTTAGAGATCAAAACCTTTTTAAATTTGAAATATAATTCACAACTATTATACTGTATTTTCTTTATGAAATACAAAGTGAAATTGAAAATGCAATAATGCATTTTAATCTTTCCAAGCTGTTGTGGATATAGAAGTACTTTATTAATGACTATTAGACTAATGACACATGCACATCATGGGCCCACACAGAAAGAATGTATGGAGCCAGATCAGTCTCAAAAATAATACATTTGCATTCATAAAAATCATATATGCACAGCACAAATTATAAATCTACAACTCCAATTCTTATATTCAAAACATAATTCTTCAATTTAAAACCAAAAAGTAAAAATATTTCCCTCACACCTATACATCTTACCTAAACACATTTAAAATGTTTACACAATTATGTATATATGAAGTTCTTGGATTACTTTCCTCTTGCATTTATGTTAGATTCATGACATCTGAGGCTCACACCAGCATGGAGTCCTTCGAATTCGTGAAGTATTTTTGAGACCTTCCTCGCAGGATATGATTCGTACACATCTTTTTTTGGAGGATATTCTGTTTTGCCAATCGCAATGAGTTTTTAATCCACCAATAAAAACTAAAATTAGAAATATATATATATATATATATATATATATATATATATATATGTTTGTGCCAGTCTGTCAAGACAAAATTGCTTAAAACACCTTACTATGACGTTATTTTAATAACAACTTTCTAATACTGCTAAAACAATTGATTTTATTTTATGGAAATAAAAATTAAAGGGTGAAACTTCTTGAGTTTCTATATATATAAACTTAGCATGTCATCTGTTTTATTTTGCTGACCAGCTCTCATAATCCATGGTAAAACTGTCAAATTACAAAGCATGGAGCGAATGAATTTGTAGTGACCAGCAGACTCGACTTCAGTGTAGACTTAATATATATGCGACAGCCATAAATTAAATAATCTGAGTAATGTTATACATCAGTAATATTAAGTACGATGATCTTCTGATACCACTGATATCAATGCATTGAGTAGCAAAGGTTACTAAACAAATCATTGATTCAAACGAGTCAGTTAAATAAACGACTCATTCATTAATACAATTGCTGCATCCCAATTCGCATACTATCCATCCTAAATAGTATTTGAAAATAGAATTAGTATGTCCCAAACTGTAGGATGTTGAAAAGAGTATGCCAAAGGTACCCGGATGGTTTACTATTTCCGGTAAAAATTTTATGTGTAGAAGCGTTCATACTCTAACCACTGATATTGGCCACAATACATTGCGTGTTGGACGTAACTTTGATTAGGACTACAAACACGGGTGAAAAGTGTAAATAAACAAGACGAATGCGTGAGACCAACCATCAAGTAGAGCAGGGGTGGCCAACCCTGAAGTAGAGGCTTCGGTAAAGATGTTTGTATGACTGTTAATTAATATCTAGCCCACTGGAAAATATTTAAATCACATTTTTGTTATATTTCATCTGCACCAATACTGAACTTATATAAAGATGTGTTTGGACATTAACGTCTGAATGCATAATTATCCAAAAAATTTGAGGAAGTTTTTCTGCATGAAAGACTCATGAATGGCAGATTAACCTGCTGCTGCTTCTCCAATAAGGTAGGAAATTAAATATGACAGAAATGTGGATGATGTGTGGATAATTGACAGTGCTCTACAGTAAGCACCAAAATGATCTGTTAAGGAAGTAGTAGCCTATGTTCCAAAACTTACTCTTCGTACACACTCAAAAGTATATACTTTTCCTTCACAAAAAAGTACATACTTTTAAGGCATAGTGTAAGTATGCGAATTGGGACCCAATAAATCACTCACTGCTGGATTTGTGGATTTATCAATGCAAATGTATTATTTTTGAGACTGATCTGGCTCCATAAGGATGAACTATCGTGTTGCTTTAAAGGCCCTGCTCAAGCCCCGCCCCTCTGAGTCAGCGGTCACATGACTCATAAAGTTTGATGTCCTGCCCAAAGTTTCAGAAGTTGGAAGAAGAGAAAAAAAAAGTTAGTTAGGTTAGTGAGAGGGCTGTGATTTTCAATGCGCAGTACAGTCACTACCAATGCCTGCGTTAGAAGAGCCGTAAACTACTGGAAAAGCAACACAGACAGCGATTTTAGAAAGTTTAGACACCTTAGAAAAAGTTTTAGAGATACAGTTTTGTAGATATGCGCGTTTCCACATTTATTTGGGTGTTTTTGGCAAGCAGCAAAACACAACGTTGCCGATTTTTTTCCTTCGCAAGGCTTGGATAATTGATAAAGCGGCCGGACACAGAACATCTTTTTGGGTTGTTTTGGATTAAAATTTTCGCCATTTGTATGGTTGCAGCCGACTTTCCTTGAAAACGGTTTCTGTTGGATAGAAAGAAGAGTTTTACTTTTATCTGGAGTCATGGATCCGAACCAGCACAACCCTCCAGCCGGCCACCAGATCGTCCATGTTCGGGGAGACTCCGAGACCGATCTGGAGGCTCTTTTTAACGCTGTGATGAACCCGAAAAACACCATCGTCCCCCCTTCCGTGCCGATGAGGTTGAGAAAGCTGCCAGACTCATTCTTCACGCCGCCAGAGCCAAAGTCCCACTCCAGACAAGTAAGAGACCACCCCCTCAGAAACCACAAACTGTTTCCACAAACTTTTCCTGCGCCTGACACTGCAACTGGCGCCGGGGCAATGCACACTTTCAGCCTGCAGTGTCACTGCGTAGTATTGGCGTATAGTTTGTAATGACACAGTCACAGATTAAAAATATTTTTATTAGTTTTATTTGTTTGTTTTTGCATGCTTAAAGAACTGTAAACATCGTATTTAGAGATACATTTATGCAGGAAAATAAAGGCCGATTGCATATTACTGAAAGTCATGAATAGTAAAATAATATTGACATGTCAGTCTTGATTTGTAATTAAGAAATATAAAATAAAGTCTGAACCTAAAGTCATACTGCCTTACTAAATATTAGTCAGTGTTATGCAAACTAAACTACACAGCACAAATAATCGTTAGGTTGATAGATTGTACATTCGAGTGGGCTGTCTGAATGATTCAGAATGAATTGCGAAATTAATTTAGTCCATTTGCTAACCCGTTTGACCAGTTCATTAAAAGAACCGACTCAAAAGAATCAATCATTTGCGATTTGGGCATCGCTAGTTGTGATTCTAAACAACCCACTGAAAACACACCCGACTTGATTTTTAAAATATTACATGGAGGTTTTGTTCATTACTACATCTGACTATTAATATACACTTAGACTTTACATAAGAACTGTCTTATTTATCCATTTAAGGAGGTTTAATTTACAAATAGTATACGCATTATAAACTTTAGGTTTAAGTACTTGTGATACGAGGGGGAAGATGATTAAAAATGGCTTAATCTGAACCTTAATTAAAAAAGTTTATGACAACAGAAGCGATCGACTTTTCTCGATCTTGGAATCACGTCTAGCGCATGCGCACAGATTGAGTTCTGCTCAAAGTGTCCCAGGACAGCCTGTTTCCTACTCCGCTCCTTCTGAAGCCAACAGCTTAGCCCACATCCGTTCCTTAACCTTCTGTTATTGTAAACCAAGCTGATAAAACGAATGAAAGCATCACTCCAGCTAAGATTCAAGCATACAGCAGTGCCATTTGTGTGAAAATGAGCTGTTTTTTTTTGTTTCCATATCTTTTTTTTTAATCTTTGAATTGATTTGTGTTATCTTACTTCATGTGCTATTTGATGCGCCCTTTATTTACTGGAAACTGACTCATCCTGACTCAAGTGATTCATCCTGTACTTTGCTAAACTCCTATAATTAAATACATCTAGAAATATTCTATTCAGTAAACTTTATTGTCTATCACACGGGGGTTAGAAAATTGTCTTAGACATACGCTCTCACACAAAAACAAAACATACACTTACACAATTTTAAAAAAAAAATCCTACTTAAAAAAAAAAAACAATGGCAGTGGGAATAAACGTCTTGTATTTAGCCTTTTTTGCTAAAGGGACTTTATCATCTACCAAATGAAAGTAACTTAAAGGAACCATGAAAAGTATGAGTCTTCCACAATAGTGGAGGTTTTTCTTTTTGCTGCTACTATTAATAAATCAGTGAGAAGTGTTTGTCTCTCACCTACGTTTACTCCCTATGTTTACCAACCTTAAAAATTTATTTTAAACCATGTTTAAACCAGGCTACAGTGTTAAAAGTAAGGACAGATTCAAAAAGTGATTTATAAATGACAATCAAACTGTCCTTCTCAATATCAAAACTTCTCAGTTTTCTCAACCACTGCTGAGCCTTATTAAAAACTTTCTCTGAGTGTTTACCGAAAGAGAATTGAAAGTCAATTCCCACACCTAAATATTTAAAAGAACTCACCTGTTCAACTTCCTCCCCATTAATTAGCAAAGGGTCACAAAATGTCTTTATTTTGTTTGTCCCACAACACCTTTCTTTTGTCTTACTAATTTTAAGCTGCAATGAATTCTCAGTTGTGATTAAAATTGACAAAATCTAGATAATTATTCAATAACTGAGTATCCTTTACACCAGGGTTTCCCAAACTTTTTAGCCCGTGACACCCAAAATAACAATGCCATTGACTCGCGACCCCTAATATTCTCTGAGGTGGTTATAAATACAGAAACCTTGCATGCAATAGGGCAGTGGTTCTCAAACTTTTTTCATCAAGTACCACCTCAGAAAAAAATTGTCTCTCCAAGTACCACCAAAATGAGCAGTATTAAAATACAGAAGCGTAGTAGGCCTAGTAAAGCAGCTACAACTCCACACGGTTAAAAAAATGTGGCAGATTACCTCAGAAATATAGGCTATATTTCATATATGGCATATTATATACATCATTTTTGATAAATTTTGAAATATATGTAGCATATACATGACATATTTCATTCCTCCGTGTACCACTAGAAGGAAGTCCGCGTACCACTAGTGGTACACGTACCACAGTTTGAGAACCACTGCAATAGGGCACACACCAATAGACTCAAGTCTGTTCTTTGTTTAGTTTTTTTCATGTATGTGAGTGCTGTAAATGGGCCAGAAAGTTTAACCTGGTGTTATAAAATCAATCTGCTGCACTTGACACTATTGCTGTGTCTTTAATATAATGTAATTATCCCTGGGGTCGCAAACCAATACAACTAGTAACTATAAGCTACTAACTCAATACAGTATAGTAACTATAAACAACAATTTTTTCTCTTCAGTAGGTTATGGATAAAATATGGTAATACTTACGGTTTAATAAAAATAAATAGATTTTTGAAAATCACCAGGCAACCCCCCTTCATTGTCCCGCGAACCTTTGGGGGGTCCCGACCCACACTTTGAGAACCACTGCTTTACACATCTATGCATGGGCTGCTATATGATTCTGACGGTATGATAATCTTGGATAAAAATATCACGGTTTCACGGTATTGTGACTACTTCTCTAAAATATATTCCTTTTAAATGTATGGGGAAAAAACTAAAACATTTTCCCCTTAGAACACTGTATATTTCATTTTGGGAAACATTTCAAATGTTTTGGAACAGTAAACATGTCAAATGTATCATTGACTTCTGCTGTCTTTATTAGTTTCAAAAACAGATTTCTTTACATGATACATCGGCATCTTAGGATATCTATTCTGCTGGTGATACTGTTGTCCAAAAAAAAGTTCATTCAAAAATGTGCATATACAGTAGAAACAGTATAACAGAAAATTTTTGGTGGTTTTTAAAACATTGACTTTTCCAAATCGCGGTGTAATTTGAAAACGGTTATCGTCCCATGCCTACATCCCACTATATGATCTGAATACTTGAGAAGTGTCAGATTTTCTTTGTCTCAAGTTATATCATTTATATAAATAGAAATTATATTTACTTATTTAAATATAAGTTATATAGTTTATTATATTATAAAGTAAAAATCAGTCTGTTTAGAATATATAAGTGTATTTAAATTTTTACTCCAGATTTTCCTTTTCCTTTTTTAATTTAAGTCTCATAGACTAGTCGAAAAAAGTCGAAATGAATGTTTTCAAGCAAATTGTTGACTTTAATTGGACAGTTCATCAAAAGTTGAGCATTCTGTCATCATTTACTCACTCTTTAATTATCACAAACCTGTTTAAGATTTTTTTTCTTTCTATTTAACATAAAAGAAAACATTTTAAAAACCTGTAAGCACTGACTTCAATAGTAGGAAAAACAAATACCATGGAGGTCAGTGGTTACAGCTTTCTGACATAATTAACATTTAAAATAACTTACTTTGTGTTCAAGAAACTTATAAAAGTTTGGAACCACTTGAGGGAGAGTAAAGCAAGAGAGCAAATTGTGCAAATTATTTAGGTTTAGTCATAAGTCTGTTCTCTGTTTGAGAGAATTATTGCCTGTGGGGTATTTGCTTTAAATCCAATCCTAGTCTAAATGTTTTCTTTATGCTAAACTAATCCTCTATCCCCGTATAGGCCAGTACAGATGCAGGTACTGCTGGTACCGTCACGCCCCATCACGTCCGGGCACACTCCTCACCTGCCTCCCTGCAGCTGGGTGCAGTTTCTCCTGGTGCACTGACCAGCATGGGTCCAGCAAACGCCCCACCTCAGCACCTCCGCCAGTCCTCTTACGAGATACCCGATGACATGCCGCTGCCCCCAGGCTGGGAGATGGCCAAGACCCCTTCGGGACAGAGATACTTCCTAAAGTGAGTTGTTAATGTTGCTTGATATAACGCGTACTACAGCATCATGGGTTAGGGGTGATTAATTTGTTTTGGTAAGTTTTAGAATGGGGTTAAGTCTGAAATGCTGCTGGTCATTTTAGAAGTGGAAACTTGTCTTTCAATTAGACTTTGAGGTGTCACTTTTTTACATGACTAGTTTTTATGTATTTTGGCAGTTCATTTACATGATGAAGGCAGTTTGAAGTGCAAATGTTTGAAAAAATGGCAGGTTTTTGAAAAATGCTACCATTATCAACTCTGTAAATTGCAATTTTTTTTGGTTTTGTGACAATGGTGACATCATCTATATTATGCGTTCAGTCTGTAGGCGTGTATGAGTATTTGAAGAAAACCAAAACAACGCTGCTTTTCCACTATCATACCGAATGGTTATAGGAACAGTCAGGTACTGTTTAAGATGTGTATCCACGTGAGCCTGGAATAACACAGTATGAATACAAACCATTCTCAGACTGAAATTCTAGGCACTTGTGCGCATTTTTATGCGCATTTTAGACGAATTACCGAAAAACAAAATCGGTTGATGGAAAGCCAAGATACGCATAGATTTTAAAAATGTGCATAAAATGTATGCGCATAACTGAGTAGGATAAACATTTTATATTCGATAAGAAAAGATGTGCATAAACTACGATGGAAACACTTTTACCAAACAAATTCCAGTATGTGAATTAAAAAAAAGTTCATGTGATTTTGTCAACTCAGGCTCATTCTCAAAATGTAGTCCCATGGATGTTTCTAGACACTGCGAAATACGTTCCGGAAGGTACCTATTTTTGCAGTTTTTGTTTTTGTGATTCCACGAGAAGTCGCTGTGAGCACATTTTCGTATCTCAAATGTCTCTCGCAAGTGCTGTTCGCACTCGCGCTGTTCTCGTGAAATCCACCAGAGGCCACTGTCGAACGACCGTCTGTCTGACTGAATGATTGACTGTGCGACCTGTCAATCGACTGACCCAGCCTCCACCTTACCTAAACCCAACCAATTTTACAGATTGACCCGCCCAACCGCTTACGTCCTTAAACCCAACTAACAATTTACAAAACCGCCCAGAAAAAGAAAAGCCCTCGTCTGATTTTTACCACATTTTCGTATTTTACCACATTCCCACCCTGTTCCCAAGCCTCTGCGTCTCAAGTTCGCCGACGTACACGACGAGCTAACTGGACAAACTGCTTTTTTCGTCCACACGGAGGTAAACGGTTGGTAAACAGTGTCATACCGCTTGTAGCATTCACTTAAAACATAAAATGCAGCCAGACGTACCTCCGGTTACATAATTTGCAGCCTCCAGAAACATCCACGAGACTACGTTTTCAGAATGAGCCTGGGTTGAATTTTGTTATAAAAGATCATGTGATGATATGTAATGTGTGTGAATGGACAAACCAGCAGGCTGAAGAAACACATTGTAAAACATCTGAAATGCTGTTTTTGGTCATTCAAAAACACCTTAACCATTTCAGTATTAGTGTTATTGTATTTTTAATGACCTCTAGAACTGTCAGGAGCATCTGCACTTTGCGCCTCATGGCTTCAAACGCCACCACATGTTTATTGCATGTCGGCATCATCTTCTGAGGTGCAAGTAATTTATTCAATAAAAAAATTTATTTACGCAGCTTCTCCTACCGTAGCAAATTTCATTTTTACTGTTAATATTTGTCACCAGATAATCAGGAAGTGACGATTTTGTTCTCTTTGACTGCTTTATTTGCACATCTTTTATGCGATATTTCCAATTTTGCACATAAATTTAAATCACATTTTTGGATGGAAGCATAGCAACTGCCATTATGTTGTCTGGCTGCCAGTTTTTTTATACCTGGCTAGGCAAAAGTGCGCTATTTATTTATTTATTGTTATTCAATGAAGTAAATATAAGAAAAAAGTCCCAAAAACAGAAATACTTGAACATCATTTATATCGCTAATTTACATTACTGATTACATTATGTTAAAATGTCTGTGACTGGCGCATTTGTATTACATTCCAAACAGTTCAGTTATCAGCACACAGTGGAAAATGAAACCGTTTCCATGTTGACTTGCCTCAATTGGCGCGGAATGGAATGGTTAACCAGACAGAACTGTTCAGCCTGATAGTGGAAAAGTGGCTTATATGACTATATGTCTGCAAACATGTAGTTTTTCTTAGCAAAGTATACTTGTTTTTGCTGATCAGTGTGAATGGGGACGGTAATTACAATGTTGTGCATTTTTCAAAAACTCAAAACAAGTTTTTGAAAGTGATTGACTGATTTGAGTGGCCTCTTTTCTATATTGGCACTAGAAGTAGTCAATGAACTAAAAACTAAAATTAAGAGAATTTCTTAAAATTTCTCTTGTATACAGATGAACGTAATTTTTTTATCAATATATTCAATAAGGAGATTTTTTTCCCCAGCTGCTTTGAATATCCTTGTCTTTAATACAGAGTGTGAGCCCGTGTGCCAAGGTTTTCATTCTCTCCCTCTGTGTGTGTGGGTACTTAGAGCTTCTGCGGATTGGGTTTCAGAGGGGAACAAAGGCCCAGTGTAGCAGCATAGAATGACTGGAGGACGGGCCGGCCTGGTAAACTCATCTGCCTGGCTGCAGAAGCCCGTCCACGGTACATGGGCTGTACACAGGAGGAGTTAATAGGGCACACTGAAGAAGTACATTGTGTCTTGTTGTTGTGTCCTACTCAAGTTTGCAACTCATTAAACAGCTTCTATATTAGGACTTCATTTTTGAATAGTTTGTGGGATGTCTGGAACGCTGACCCCCTGACCAATCGCTTCTAGACAAACATGATTAGTCTCCAATTTACACTGATAAAACAGAGAGCTTTTAAAACCAGATGTTTAGAAGAGGAACATCTGGAGAACATCTGCTTCATTTGGACCAGATCTTCAGGGGTTGAGGGACAGGAAGGGGAAAACGCTATTTGTGTAGACGGCTCACAAGACTAAGGATAATGTTTTGGAAATGTCGCAACTGCTAATGTGTCCAACAATAAGGACGACTAATCCTCAAAACTCAGCTTCAAATTTGGTCTGGAAGTTACCGGTCTTGACATGGTTGACAAGAGATTTTTTGTATTTACCATATTACTGTCGCCCCAACATATTAAAGGAGATATTTTTATTAAAAAATGTATATTGAGACTGCTACATTTAATTTTCTAGCATATATCTTACTTAAACCTTTTCCAGAGAGTGTGAGTTATTCTGCATTTATGCTATTGCATTTTTGCTTTGGAATGCATAGTTTATGCTACATATACACCTGGCATCCACACTACTCCAACGCGTATGACCTATGGAAACAAAGCATTTTGTAAATGGTTTTAATTAGTTTAATTAATTTTAATTTTGAAAACGTTGGAGTTGCGGTTCAGTGTAGTAAGACTTCTGAAACTTGAGGTGCACCACACTGCCTTTTTATTGTTTTTAGAAAAGAGCAGTGTGCTGCACTTTTTATGTTGCTAGAAACTACTGTATGAATGGTGTTTGTGCTGGAGTGAATGACATCGGGCAATTGTTCTGCACAGAGTTGATTTTTTTAATTGAAGGGCCACAGAGTACTCATTTGTAGGCACATCAGGCAGATAGAACATGGTGACAGTGGTGCATAGACGTCATGCAAATCACTCACTTCCAATAGAAAGCCAGTACCGAAAGGTACCTCTCACCACAAAAATAAAAAATATACTTTTTAAAAAATGTTTGCCGTGATCTGGCCTAAAACATATTCCGTTTAAAATGGAGACATGGCTATCCATAATCGCTTACTGATTGAATTTTCTGGACTATTATTAAGTATGATTTCCAGATTCATCCAAACCTTCTCATATGAACATTACTGTCCTGGAAAATTGCAAGAATGGATGCCAACAAGACACACACATGCCCAGTGTGCTTGAGTGTGAGATGTAAGATGAGGATTTTATTTGTATAATGTGAACGGAGATTGTTCTTGTGAAAAAATTGAAAACTTCATAAGTTAAATGGAACGAGTCTGGATCAGAGTTCACAGCACATTGTATTCCGCTGTCAGCTTTATAACAGTTGTTAGTCATGTCATATTTAGGTCCACTTTTCTGGGAAACCATAGATAAATTTTAGATAAATTATTCTTTTATGAAAGTGCTGAACTGTGAGCAGTTTAACAGGTTAATATTAAATTTAGGAATTCTGCGACTCTCATTTCACATTGAGTGTAGTTAGACTCTAGGATCACCTGATGCTTCATGAAGCTTGCCCTGGGAACAGAAAAGCACTCCAATTTATAATCAGGCCCTCTTCAGATGAAGGCTGTAAGCCAAGCTGTTTAAAACTGTGATTATCTTGTATTACTTTCAGATGACCACTACTGTTTTGTACTTGCGTGACCCTCAAACAAACTCTTCTACTAAGGCCAGATATTTCCTTTAAGTATATGTTGTAGCATTCATTCTGGTTGCAGAAAAGCAGATGGCGTTGTGCCGTGTATCCCGATGGATTTTGCTTTTGGCCACATGCGAGTCACACAGCTAAAGGAAGTCTGACAAGCAGCCTGGTTTCCGTTTCGGTATGAATGAAAGGGCAGTTTGTGAATCCGCTCAGTAGAGATAAAGTGGAGAGAGAGAAAGAGTGAGCATGAGCGAGTTTCTTTATTCATCCAGTGACACTCATGTGACCCGGTCAGATATAGACAAACAAACAAGATTGAGAGACTCTGAACACACAGTAAAAGATCTATCGCATTAGAGCTAGTTAGATTTTAGCCATGAACAGTTACACTGTAACCTTTTTGTCCTTCTATATTTAGTTCACCCTTTGCTCAGGCCTCAGTGGTGTCCCGTGACACTTTGATAGCAGGAAGAAAATGACAGGAAACACAAAGCTATCAGAAGTCGTAATCAACCTGCAACACCCAGTCATTTGAAGACCGTTTCAACGCTGCCTCAAAAGCCCAGGATTATAGGGAACTAGTCC